TTGCCCTCACACTTTCTTTTGTGTTATCCTACAATGAGGAAAAGATCTTGAAAAAGAAAAGGTTTTTCAGAAGCCATTTTATAATCTGGCACATTTTTTTCTCTAGTCTCTTGTGTGAAAACTTTTCAAACTAGATAAAGCAAGATTCTGAACTGGAATTAATTAGTAGCCTTTACCAAAAAAAAAAAAAAGACCAGAAAAATGTACATTTAGAACAGATGTTAGACATTTATCAAGTGTCTGAGGGAAAAAGCAACATCAAGGCAACAAAAAATTGTGTTTGACAATTACTTAGTCTATGTAAAACTAAGGGTGGCTGAGGGACATTTGGTCTAGTTAGGTTGAGCAAGTACCATGATAGGAGATTAAATGTAATAGTAATGCAAGTAATTAAAAAAAAAAAAAAAGAATTTCAACTTTTCTGATATCCCTGGACCTAGATGAAGTGCATAGGGAGCATTCTGCTTCATTGCAGAGGCTCGGTCAAAACTGGTTCATGCAGAGTTCACACACACATGTGCTTTTTAATCTGTGTGTGATTACAGTGCTTGCTTCTGGAAGAGGCTGGTTTTACCTTGGCCTTAATACCTAAGCCTGATCTTGACAAGATGGTGTGATCAAATTGCTCTATTTAATGAACTCAAATTGTCAGCACATGCAATCTCATTTGTTAATTTCTAGTTGCTTTTATCTGTGCTGTACTGGGAGTATGATCCAGTTTATCCACCTTCTCTGAGAGATAAAGTTTTGCAACAGATTCAGAAAGTAATTTTGAAAGTAGTAATTAAATTCTGTCATTCTGTCTTAACATGTTTGGACTCTCTAATGAATTTCTGGGCAAAAATAAAGGAGATATGCATTTCTTTTTTTTTTTAATGTTAGAATAAGGAGAGTATTAGGGAAGAAATAGTTTAAGTTCAGAGTTCATTCTTTACTTGCAAAGGTAGGACACAGTGCAGAGGCAGTAAGTTTGCCCTCTGGAGTCACCAACAGTATCCTCATTCCTTGTCATGAATCAGAAACAAAGTTTGGGTCAGCCAAAGAAAATCCATCAAGAGTGAAGTTTCTCAAGATTGATTAATTTACTGTACAGGAACCTACAGAATTTCGCAAGCAAGAAATGACAAAGCTGTAGTTCATGTACACAGAATATGTTTGTACTTGTAGTTGCTTAATTTAGTTCACTTCTTCCAGGCTTTCCAGTAGAATTGGCAGATTTGAGGAAAGGTAGGTGGTTTGGGCTGCCTGTCCTTCCTTAAACCCCACTTGTGCATGTTATGTGTTTGCCTGGAAACCTGGTGGATTTGGGGCATTTATGTGAAGACCTTAAGGCCATGTCTTCAGGAAACCTTTTATGTAGATAAAAGGTTTAGCTTGATGCAGGTTTTTAGGTACCTGCCTTTTGTTTTCCCTTGGTAGAATACAAGGCATTAAGTTTAACTTAATCTGTAGTGTGCCCTCCTATTTCTGGGACAGCTTCTCTAGGTCTGTGTGTTCCAAAAATAAAGCAATTTGCTTTTAGAATATTGCAGCTGTTGTGTTACCTGTTAATACTCTGTTTTGCAATATATACAGGGCATAGTGTTGTATTAAGAATATTGCTAAATACAGTTGAAACAGGGTAGAGTTATTTGGGTGCATGTTTATGATGGAATTCCAGTCTGCAGAACGAACGGACTCTTTGGTGAAAGCTTCCCTTCACACAAGAGGGACAAAACCCCAAAGAACAGCAGTAATGGGGGTCTGTGTCCTGTTTGAGGCATTCCTCCCAAAAGCTCATGGACCTGATTGTGTGGTCACTTTTTGCATAATTGTTCCCTGGATTTGTAAAGCTGCTCCTGCCTGCTTTAGTGACAGAAGATAGCCAGTGACCTGTGTACACCTTAATTCTAAATTAAGGCCTGAGTCTTTTGTACATAGGAGTGTGTCACAGGTGAGTTATTAAGAGTGTATCAATGTGGGTGTAACTAAAAACGTTTTATTAATGATTAAATCATGATCAAAGATAATTAATTGACACCTAAATGAAAAGGGAATGATGATAGAATTGTTATTAAGCAATAATTGAACAGCAATTAAATAGTGATTTAACAATGTTTTAAATTATTGTTTAAACAATAATTTACACTCTGGTCAAACTACTACTTACTGTACATCTAATAATTCAGCTATAGCTGGATTTATAAAAGCTGCAGCAAGTATACAATATACTTTAAGGCTTAATGTAAAATGTCACTTTCCTCATTATAGATCTCAGATATTTGGTAAGGGGCTCTTTCAACCTCAAGCATTAACCTTAAGAGCCATCCCTGTCTAAGGGGACATCACTGCTGAGCAGCCTGGTGCTGTACAGGAGACCCTAGTGGGCTCATGGGGGCTGCAGACATTTATTTTGAGGTTAAAATGACTGACTCCTAGTCAGAGCCCCTTTTGGTGTACGTGCAGGTGTGCAGCTGTAGCAGTTCCAGTTCTGTCTAGTTCCAGCTCAGGCTGGTGCTGATCTCCTGATAAGAGAGGCCTGAACTCTTTGTTCCTGGATAAGACACGGCTTAGGATGATTCTCAGGGTTTGCACTGCAGGGATGATTTCAGTCAGGTCTCCTTTTTGGTGAACCAAAGTACCGTCACTCAGTCAGAAGGGGTGCATCCAGCACAGGGATCTTACATTATAAAAAAAAAAAATTGGGTCTATCAGTGGTATCAGCATTATATAAAAGAATTGTGGTCTCTTAGGTTGCTGGTATCAGCATCTAAAGTCTGAGTACAGGAATGTGCTGGAGAACTTCACTGGAAAATTATTTTTCTCCAACTGAAACACTTGTTTTAGGTAGAGTAGCCTGTGTTCTTTATACCTGCCTTCCCTCAGAGAAAATAATGGGATTTTCTTCACAGAAGGGTAGAGACAAGGGGTCTGTTAACAGCCATCTGATGAAGGAATGTCTTCTCAAAAGGGAATGGCTTACCCCAATTGTGTGATAGAAACTCTTGGGAAGAGGGTAATGTTACAACAGCCCTGTCCTTGTTTAAGTCATGGATGGTATGGTGATTCCTACCAGAGGTGTAAGCACTAGGAGCTCTTGCAGTTCAAACAAGAGGCAGCTGAGGAGTTGAGGCTGAAGGACTAGGAATTGCAATTATGAAGAAAAAGTTATGAAGTTGTTCTTTCTTTCAGAAAGAGAGAACAAGATATGATTCTAACAATAGAAACCAAAGAGCCCAGGAGTAACATGATACAAAGCTAAAATTCATTCATATCTTTAATTATAGTATTTTTCTGAAGTACAGGTGAAACTAACAAAAGGGTAGTGATTATTAACACAGACAAAACCGTGAAGCAATCTGGAAACCCGTATAAGACATAAGAATGGCAAAAAACCCAGCAGGATATGAACAGACATGGGGCTCATCTCCCACATGCTGTTCTGAATTGGGGCATGTCCAAACTCATTTAATTTCCTCAGCTCCTTCATACTTGTGGAACCTCTCCTACATAAAAGTTGAAAAGGAGGCTGTAGGATGATTGATATTTTCCCAAACTCTGTGTCTGATAGCCTTGTCTCTGTGCCCTAACTGCAGTGAGCCACAGCTCCCCTGTGCTTTGGCCAGCTACCTGTGTCTAGTGCTGTCCTGCTGGGACTTCTCACTCCGGCCTCAGCTACCACAGGAGACATTCTGTTTGTAGTGCTGTGCTTCAGCTGCAGGCTCTCAGCATGACAGCAAAGGAGGAGCAAGGGCTTGCAGACTGGGAAAAGGAGTAAACAAAATAGAATTATAGAATTGTTTAGCTTGGAAAAGACCTCTTAGTTTGAGTCCAACCACAAACCCAGCACTGCCACATCCACCACTAAACCATGTCCCCAAGCGCAAAATCTACATGTCTTGTAAATAACTCTGGGGATAGTGACTCAACCACTTCCCTGGACAGCCTGTTCTAGTGTTGGCTAATGCCTTAATTAAAAAATTTCTTCCTAATATCCAGTATAAACCTCCCCTGGTGAACTTGAGGCTGTTCTTTCCTGTAGCTTTTTTTCTGGGAGAAGAGGCTGACCCCCACCTTGCTACAACATCCTTTAAGGTGTAGAGTGCAAGAACATCCCCCCGGGGGTCCTTTTCTCCAGGTGTTTGAAAATGCATCAGACTCGATTGGTCCACATGGAATAAGGAGAAACTGTTGTCTTGAAAAAGTGATACTTTGAAGGTACTAGACTTTAAGTAGGTAGAAGGGACTGTAGTTATCAAAAAGCAGAATCAGAATGTGAAGTTTAGTATTGCTTCCTCGTTGTAATTAAATGCTTATGTTAATGTTTGGGAAAGGGAATTACAGAATCACAAAAGGAGTCATGTTGAAAAGGGACCACAGTGGTCATCTGGTCCAGCCTCCCTGTTTGAACAGGGTCATCCCAGAGCACATGATGGTGCTTCTGGGTCCTTTTCAACTCAGACTGTTCTGTGACTCTCAAGTGAAATTGCTTAAAATAAAAAAAGAGTAAATAATGGCACTATTGCTATTAAATATGGCACAGGATTGTGTCCAGAGTGTTCTTGAACATCTTCAGTGAGGGAGATTCCACAACCTGTCTGGGCTATCTGTGTGTGGTGTATCTATTTCAGTGTGTGGTGACTTCATAGTAAAGAAATTCTTCCTCATATTCAGATAGAACTTCATGTGCATCAGCTTCTGCCCGTTGTCCTATTGCTAGAGAAGAGAAGAGCCTGGATCCCTCCTCTCCCCGCCCTCCCTTCAGATGCTGACAGCCACTGATGGGATCCCTTCTCGGTGGCCTCTTCTCGAAGAGAAGCGAAGCTGCTCGTGGAGAGAAAAGGCGCTATTGTGGTCACTGAGGAAGGAACAGGAGCGCATTTTCCGGGTGCCCCGATGCTGTATTTTCCTGAAAATCCCCACGAACGATCCCGGTCTCCCCCGCCGCTCCCCCGGCGCGGGGCGGGGCCGCGGGCGCACGTGACAGGGCGGGTGCCATGGCGGGCGCGGGGGCGGCGCGCGGCAGCCCAGAGCTGGCCGGGGCCGCGGGGCCGCCGGGCCGGGCCGAGCACCAGCAGCAGCAGCCGCCGCCACAGCAGCCGAGAGCCGCCGCGATGTCGTCCGTGGCCTCCTACGAGAGCCTGGTGCACGCCGTGTCCGGCGCTGTGGTGAGCGAGCGGGCGGGGGGCGCGGGGCCCGGCGGGCGGGGCGGCCGTGCCGGCCTGGCGGGGGGCGCGGGCCGCTCGCAGCCTTTGTTCGGCCGGGACGGGCTGGGGAACCGGCCGGGGCTTAGCCAGGCTGGAGGCCGGGCCTGAGCAGCCGGAGCCATCTCTGAGGCAGCGGGAGCTGCCCCTCAGAAAGCCGGGTTGGCGCACCCGGAGCTGGGCATCCCTTCAGTAAGCTCAGGCAGAGGGGCAGCACCTCAGCTCTGCGATCCCAGAGCTGCACCAAGCATCGCCCTCCTGCCGCGGCCTCATAACGAGCTCAGGAGCTGCGGAGAGTGAGGCAGCTCTTGGGTGCTGATCGAAATGTAAAGCGGGCACCGAGCAGCCGGAGGAGGTACTGTCGATCACTGAATTTAATTTTTCATGTGGTGCTTGTAAATTAAAAAGTCGCATTTACTTTATGTAGATTTCCTAATGTGCCCAGCCCTTGAATTTTTCTTTTCAGAGTGCTAGCTCTAAAAAGTAAATCAGCCTTCTGCTTCCAACAGATTAAGAATTTTAGTGCATGTAGCATGTTGGATTGGGCATACTGATGGATAGGAAGAACTCCTCGTGTCTCCTGTAGGATGAAAGTTGCTAAATGTTATTGATCGATAAACACTGGAACAGGCTGCCCAGGGAGGTCATGGAGTCTCCCTCTCTGGGGACATTCAGAACCCACCTGGAATGGAGGCATTCCTATGTCACCTGCTCTGGGTGACACTGCTTTGATGTGGTGGGGTTAGACTGGGTCATCTCCAGGGGCTCCTTCCAACCGTGACAATTCAGTGATTCTGTTATAAAGGCTGATTCTAAAAGGAAAAACAAGGCTTTAAGGGATGTTTTTGTTTTATTATAAATAAACACAAGATTTTTGTCCGCTCTTTAAATTGTTTTAAGTCTGCTTTCTTAAACATCAAAGGCAGTGGGGATTTTGTTTCCACTTTCAAAAACTGGAGCTTTCTCAAATGATCTCATTGAAATACTACCCATTTTCCTTTTGCTGGCTTCTGCAGAAGTCAGTGATACTTTCTAGACATTGCTGTTAGCTTCTCCCTTCAAAAACATATTGCTGTAGTCAGGCTGTGCCCCTGAACAAAGTTTGTAGTGTGAACCAAGCTTATACATCCAGCTTATACATCCAGCCATAGACTCAGAACTGTGTTGAGCTAATGCATCAGGAACACATGTCGGACCACAACATGATGACTTTTGTTTGTATTCTAATATACTGAAAGCTGATATACGTTCTAGGCAACCTAGTCAAATTTGAGATGAAGGAATATTTTTGTGAACAGTAAAAAAATAACCAGCATAAAACAGTGCTTGATTTCCTGTGAACTTTAATTGAATTACATAAGTATTCTTTAACTCTGCATATAGCTGCAACATAATCTTCCTGTTGCAAAGCTATAGGGGTGAGAATTTCATGGGAGTATTATAGAGCAGTCAGGCTGCTTCATTAGCTAAATGGTGGCTGAAAAATAGCAATGAAACTTTTTTATATGTTTCACTTTTTTTTTGTTGTTACTATTTTTTATAAATCCAAGCTTCAGGCTGTGGTCCTGCACGCATCTTTTTGGCAGCAGTCACCTCAGGCCATTTATTCTGGCCACTTCTTGGCTACTGCACAGTTGTTTATTGGGTGCTGTGACTGGTCAGTGAACTGATGTGGCTGAAGAAGTAGCTCAGTGGAAAAAGTAGTTTTTCAGCCAGATTAGTTTCTGTGTCTGCACCATTGTGTAGTGCCCAGAAAGTTATGCCACCAGATTGGAGGAGGCAGGGGTGCAAATACAGTTGACCAAGAGCCTGGGATTACAGGGACCAGCCTGTACCTGTCCCTGTGATTATTCAGTGGTAATGTGACTTGGCAAAGCACCGAGATCCAGCGCCGACAGGGCGTGGGGGGAAGGCTGACAGTGAGGCCTCACCCTTCCAGCAGTGCAGGGTAATACATGGCAGCATCTGTTCTGCACTCACTAGTATAATTTTACCTGCTGGTCTCAGTGCAGTTTAGCGAGGAATCTGAGTCCCTCTTGAGGGCTTTTGTTGTTGGGGAAAGGACTGTTTATCCCTCTTTTCCTTTGTTCTAGCCATGAAATCCTGTCTCTTCCGTATGATGCTTCAGGCAGCCTCCTCATCATGTAGTTGAGTTGTTCCATTTGTAAACCCAAGAGAAAAGTAACTTGGCTTTTCTATTTCCCTCAATTTAGCAAAAGAAGGGGAGAGGGTACAAATTGTTTTTTATGTGCAATGATCTGTTAAGTCAGTTAAGTTAAGTCAGTTTAGTTGTCTCATTACATTCCCTTGAACTATAGTTCCATATACGTTCTAAGCCAGTTTGGCAGTCAAGCACTGGAACAGGCTGCTGAGAGAGTTGGTCAGTGCCCCATGCCTGTCAGTGTTTGAGGCATTTGGGAAATGCACTTAAGGTGCTTTAGCTGTTGGTCAGCCCCGAAGGGGGTGGGAGCAGCAGGACTGGGTGATCATTGCAGATCCTTTCCAGCTGAAACAGACTGTTCTGTGTCTTGTGGCCACACATCCGTTGTGTCCTGTGTGACACTACCTGACTATTTCCTCATTTCCAGTTTCTAATTCTGTGCAAGTGTGTGTGTGTGTGTGTTGCTGCTGCGTGGTGCATTGCATTGAGACTGAGATCCAGGATAAATCTCACTTTGGGAGGATGGAAGCAGAGGAGGGCTGCAAGTTGTAGTGACTGTGCAGTCTTGCTCTGTGCGTAGGTGTAACTGCATTTTGAGGCTGTCTTCAAAGTTGCAGTAATGCAGCTCCCATTAGGAACAGCATTATGGCTCTTTCTGGCACTTTTTTTTTGTGCTGGCACTAACCTTCTAACTAAGATATATTTTTTAGAAATATTCAGTCAGATGGGTTCATTAATCCACTTGCTGTCCAGCTGGGTACATGGTAGGTGAGAATGATACAACCCAGGAGAAGTACGTGGGAGAGTAGAATGAACTGTTTTAGCAAGAGCCCAAACTAAATGGGTTAAAATAACCAGGTAATTGTGGCCAAGTCTTAACATATGCTACCTAGTGTTAAAAAAAAAAAAACTGGAGAAACTTAAGTCAACCCAGAATTGTTTTAGTGTGGAAATATCACCAGAAAAAAAAAATCCTCTGTTGCTGGTTGTAGAGTAGGTCCAAGCAGCCTGCTGAGGAGCTGGGGTATTTCCAGAGGCAAAGCTCACTTAAATGTATGGCATAAGACAGCTGTAGGAAAGCTCAAGTCACACTGTGCACTGTAGTTTAAACACAGCATTGAGTGACTTGCTGTATCCCAGACCTTCCCACTGTTTAAACAGTTTGCATGGCTGCTAATAGAAGAGGTTCCACAGCTTTAGCAGCCACCTGATGCATGGGAAACAGGTTTACACCAAGCCAGGGCCTTTTTGAGGCTAATAGGAGGTAGAGAAAGTTCAATGTTTATTTTCTGATGCCACTAGATCAACTTTCAGGCTTCAAAAACTTTCTCTTTTGGCAAAAAGCTTTTAATGGTTTTAATTTTAGCTTGATCTAATGCAAGAGAAAAATAACCCTCTTTTGTAAGTATGGGACAAAAATGTGTTATGTGTGGAGTTTATCCCCTTTTTAAACTTACTCAGCAGACTGATTTGTGGGCAAGAAGCGAAGAGTTACAAAAGTCTAGCAGGCCCTGTATAAGCAACTGATACATAAGCAACTGATACACTATGCAGCCAGTTTATTTTGTTTTTCAGGGCAGTATGACTGCAATGACTGTATTTTTTCCTTTGGATACAGCTAGACTTAGACTTCAGGGTAAGTGTCAAAATCTAGTTTCTTTGTACACAACGGCATTTCTGTTCATCTTGGCCTGGGCACTTGTAAGGGTGGTTGTAGTGGGGGTGGTCTACATGAACAGGAGTCTTACTTGTGTCAGATTAACACTGTTTTTCCAGGTAAAGGTAATTCTTCCTGTTGAAAGTTGGGCAACATTTTAATTAGCTGAAAAGGCTGCGTGCTCTGTGGCTTTTAAATGATTATCTAAGACCAAAGACAAAAACAAAGATGCAAGATTGCATAGGATTATATTTGTGTGTTGCTGTTTTTGGCTGCTGAGAACACTTTGAAATGTAGGGGCAATATAATGAAAAACAGAATTATTGAGAGGATGATTTAAAGGGAAAATCCAGGGTTAGAATTGGGATTAGGAATATCTAATGTTTACAGAAATGCATCTAGAATATGAACTGTGTTCTGAAACTCTATCTTCTAATCTAAAGTCTCAGACTCAGCAAGCATTTTAGAGCTATGACTTAAGAACTGGAGGCAGATTATCAGCCAGGTTGTCAGAAGTATGGGTTGAGAAATGAATAGCTTTCAGTGCAGGAAGAGCCTACTTTGCTAAGGCTTAGCTGTTTGCAGATGAGCTGTAGGAGATAGCTCTGCTACTGGTGCTGGTCTGATGTCCAAGGAATAATTTTGAGAGCAGTCAGGCAGGCCCAATTCTAGCCCTCTACCTAAGGGGAACCTTCTTTCAGTTCATGTTGCAACTACTGGAACTGGTGATTAGAGATACACTGGAGCACAACAGAACCTGTCAGTCTGAGGAAGAATAAAAAAAAGGAGTACCCTTACCTAGCAAATTAAAATAAGGAGAAATAGGGTATTTCTATCCTTTATGAGGAAGAAGAAACATGTGCTTGTAGGGTATATTCAGAATTGCAAGGATAAGGACTTGAAAAAGAGTGCTAAAATTTTGAATAATCTAAAAGTTTGATTGTTTTGCTTTCCAGTTGATGAGAAACGGAAGTCAAAGACAACACCGGCCGTCCTTCTGGAAATAATCAAAGAGGAAGGCCTGTGAGTAGATACTGATTTTCTGTTTGTCTTCGTGGAGATAAGCTCTAAAACTGATTTGAATATGCTTTTAAAGTGGAACAATTAGCCTGTATCTGTGTGGACAGATTTTTATTCCAAATTGAAATGTCTCCACACAAGTGTGATATGACTTGCATAATCTTATGTGTTCATCTTTAGCTAACTAGGATTAACTTTCTTGAGCACCTTATGCAATTGATCTGTTCAGTGATGTAACTGCCTTCATTAGTGAGGTAGCTGTGCCTCCTCAGAAATGCAAATGTACCTTCATATACCTGATCAACAAGCTTTGTCTGCCTGGATTCTTGGGTGTGTCAATTTCTCAATAACCAAGATGAAACTCCTGGATAACTGAGCCACTTTCAAGAGAACTCAGACATGTTTCCCAGTTGGAAGGTTTTAATTTTCTCCTAAGCATGTAGAAGTAAACAACACATGACACTTTATGCTGGTGGGATTTAACATCTGTCTAAAAACAGTTAACTTTCAGCTGTGCTGTGCTTTAGTATTTGTCATAGTCTGAGCTGAGTTGGCTGGGAAAATCAGTTTTATGCCTGTCCTTGTTAGAAGTATTTTCCTAACGGAATCCCTGGAACTCCTAAGTAGACTGGTGCTTCCAGGACATTAAAGCTGATGAAAGTTTAACTTGGCCCATAATGCTGTGTCACCTTTGAACTTGGGCAGATGTATGCATGAGGAGTTCTCTGCCAGCTGATCTCTTCTTGTTCACATTCCCACATTACCTCTGTCACATGAGGGTGGCAAGTAAACTTCAATTAAAAAAAAAAAAAAAAGAAAAAAAAAGTAAAAAAGAAAAATGAAGTAATTAACCAAGGTGGAAAGACTGCAAAAGTGATCATCCTACTTTGCCTGTGAAAGAGAAAAATCAGGAGCTCTGGCAAGACAGGAACATTGCTTCTTCCAAAGGTATTGGGAAGGCCTGGCAAAGCAATGGTTCTAATTTAGAGAAGTGTCTGAAGTTACAAAAAAAAAAGTCCAAACAGCAACAAATCTGAAATATGATGTGAGATCATAAACATCTTGTTCACATTAGCTTGTAGGGTCATGTCTCATTACCATACTTTTGTGAGACTGCTTTTCTCATCTAGATAAAGCAAATAGGTTGAGCTAAAGGACTTGCTGCAGAAGTTTATCAGACAGCTTTCTTCCCTGCACTTCCATCCTCTTCTAAGTGATCTGAAAGGTGTTCACTAGTGTACACCAAGTTTTTCTCAAGATTGCAGTGAATCATGGATGCTGCTACTGACAACTTAATTACTTAAAAATAAACTCATGGGGTTTGTTTTAGTTTCATGTTTTGTACTACAAGATGTTTCATTTGAAAATCATCAGAAGTCATTCTTAATAAATCAATCAAGCCCAAACTAACACTCAGTTAGAGGGCATAAACCCTAGAGGATGTTTCTCTCTTTCTTTTCTGGCACAGAAGAGATAGGTAATGTAAGAATTGTTGTAATTTGGCTAATGAATAACTGCATAGTCAGTAAATTTGTAACTGTGTGGTTAGCTAAGCCTGTAACTTCAGAAGCAGTTGTAACAATAAGATGTATTCCCAGCTACATGGGAGGGAGAAGCACTCATGGATTTGAGATGAAAAAGTAGCATTTACATTTTAAGCCAAGTCAGATGTGGTGTTTACCAGGCTTGCATCTTTTACAGTCTTATTGGAGATCCTTAAATTCTACATACTCCCAGTATTTAATGAATTCTGAAGAGCCTCCATAGTTTCTGCTGTTGGGGTGATTTTTTTTATGCTTTTAACATGATACCAGCTCTCTACCTGTTCTGTGCAACTCCAGTGAAGGTGTGTATCCATATCTTTTTTGGATGTGTTGTAGAACATGTTGGGAATGTAGGACAGCTGTTGAAGTGTCCCTGTTTTTCAGGATCATCAGGCCTGTCAGAGAAGGGAGCTTTGTTAGGCAGATGTTATGAAATCATTCCTAAATCAAGACAGCTTTAGATGATAATTCAGTTTTCTGTCTGTGATTAATCTAGTTAAATTTAACTAGGTAATGTCTTTTTCTTACTTACCTGACTGATTTGCCCTAGATTTTACAGTAAGGCATTTGTTAGAAATTCTTCCCACCTGTGTATCTTCTGTCCCCAGGTTGCATCCTTCGCCAGACTCTCCTAGGAGGAGTATATGAATTTCAGTAACTAGTCTTCAATTTTTAAATTTTATGTGAGAATCCAGATACTTTTTTTCCTTACTCAGGAGTTAAGTATGGCTTTTTACCATTGCTGATAAAGACATATCTAGGTAGTACTTCCTGTAGTACACAGCATTGTATCTCTGGGATCCTCCACCAACACATGAAATCAGCCAGATCAGCCACATAAATACTTCGCTGATTCTTACTGTGACTTTTTGCTCTCCGTTAGGTTGGCACCATATCGAGGATGGTTTCCTGTTATCTCCAGCCTTTGCTGCTCCAATTTTGTTTATTTTTATACATTTAATAGTCTTAAAGCCCTTTGGGTCAAAGGTCAGCATTCAACCACTGGAAAAGACTTGGTTCTTGGAGTTGTTGCAGGTAATACTTTAAAATCTTCATTTTGTCAAGAATGTATTTTTGGTATATTCTATCTAATGATTTTCTTTATGAAGGCCTTTGGCGGCCACACTGAGTGCTCACCCCTCCCACTGTATGCAGACCTGCTTCTTTGTGGTTGCTACTCTGTGTCATCCCTGCCTCCTAAGGAATTGCATAAACCATTCCTGTTGTGAATTCTGGCACAAAGCACAGTGCTCTTGTGGCTTAGCATGATATTTGTGTCTGATGTGGTGCTTACAGGTATCTAAGCTTCAGCACTAAGATGCTGAAGAAAAGAAAAGGGAGAAGTGATAGTTGGGTTTTTTCCAGAGGAAAAGATATATGCCAATTCTGAATTAATTTCAATTACAGTAAGAAATTCTAATGTAAGAATTTGGGTGTTAGTTTTCAGACTTGGTTTTGGGTTGTCACCTGAAAGTGACAGGAAGTTCCTAGATATATACAGGTCCAGTGGGACCATATGCTGTTTTATTCTATCCTCTTATGTGGATGCTGCAGTGCCTTCTTTGAAGGGATGATAACATTTGTGACTTTTCTAGCACACCCAGTGTGAAAAGTTACCACTGTGGGCTTTGTGTTTGCCAGTGATATTCTTCAGGGACTATTGCTCATGCAAATACATAGAATCAAGCTGATTTAAAAAAAAAAAAAACAACCTGTAAAAATGACCCCTGGGTTTGGGGTTTTTTGGGGGGTTGAGGAGGAGTTGGTAGTTTCTTATACTTTCAGTGTAGGTATAATGACTGTCTGAATAGCTACTGGAAATAAGGAAGGAAATTCTTAAGCTGGCTGTATGTCTGTGGTAAAATTCCATGTATTTTGGAACAAAGGCTACAGGAATTAGGGTATGAATTACCATTTACTTTTCCCATATGTTGTGTTGGTTTTATTCCCTCTTCCTACCAGAAATTTCAGTAGCATGTGAATCAGGGGAAGAAAAGGGGATAAAAAAGATTTGAAATATTGTTTTTCATGCTGATTTTCTTTGTGCTGTGTTTTGCATTAGGAGTAGTGAATGTACTCCTGACCACCCCTCTCTGGGTAGTGAACACACGCCTGAAGCTGCAGGGAGCAAAATTCAGAAATGAAGACATTGTACCAACCAATTACAGAGGCATAATTGGTAAGCACCTGTTGTTGTCTTCAACCAAAGAGAAGTTCATGAAGTGAAATGTATCAAGGACTTTGAAGACTTCTGTTCATCATGAACGATTTCACCCTGTAATCTCTGTGCTGCTCTGTCACTTTGCAGTCATTGAGTTTTACAGGAAACCGGACTTGGCTGTTTGTGATGGTAATTAAGAGTTTGCAGTGTGCACTCCTGTAACTGAAAGACCTTTTGCAGGGGCAGATATGTTATCATACAGGTAATGGAGCAGTAGTGAGCCCCATGAAGTGGTAGCTGGGAGTCTGAGTTTGGACAGACAGTCTGAAAATTAAACTTTGCTCACCTTAATCTCCTAATAACTCACATGTTCAGGCTGTCCTTCTTTTAAAACCAACCAACCAAATAACATTACTGTTATTTAGAAGAAGGTTTGGAAGACCTTAATGTGGATTCCACACTTGTAAAAAAAAGAGGGGGCTGCCTGAGCAGATGATTAGTTTTGTGTATGTTAATGGTGGTGCAAACAAGAACCTCCTTTCTCACTACCTTTCTCTTAACTTCTGGATTAAAATGGAAGTTTAGTTAAAAATGCTTGCATAAAGGACTGCACTTGGAATATTAGGCTTTAAGAGTAACTTCTTGTATCTTTTATATTCAGAGTTTTGTACTCAAAATATTAATAATTTTTTCCTCACCTTTTATCTCAGATGCCTTTCATCAAATAGTCCGAGATGAAGGAGTGTTAGCTCTGTGGAATGGTACTTTCCCCTCCTTGCTGCTGGTCTTCAATCCTGCCATACAGTTTATGTTTTATGAAGGCTTTAAACGAAAGCTTTTAAAAAAGCAGCTGCAAGTGAGTATGTTTTGAGGCCAGGTGATGAAAGTGCTCTGTTACAAGACAGGTTTTTTGATATGCATCATTTGAACAAATTCAGAATATGGGTTTGGTTTTGGTTCTAGTATTTTCAAGTGGTTTTTTGAATTAGTTTGTCTGAAAAGGGTTCAGCATAATGAAATTATATGGGAATCTTTCATGTCCTTAGGGAAGAGATTCCTGTAATTAATTCTTCTACCTGTAAAATAGAACTGAACCTCTTCTCCACATTTCTTTGCATACATTCACAGGTCTTGATTAAGAGTAGAGATTTCAATTCTAATGTATCTTTTATAAATATTTACATACTGACTGTTTTGAAGTCTGCTTTTAACACTTTTTGCAGTAAATAATAACTTTTTTTTTCTTGAAGACCTTAAATTTTCAATGTAATTTTTCTAGGTATGGACACTAGAATTAAACGTAGCATTGCAACCATTCCTTCCTGATTTTCTAAATAGAAGTGCAATTGCTTTTCTCTCCCTGCTTTATACTGCTCTTCTTTTTCCTTATTCTTTTTCCTTGACTATATCAGATATAGAATCTCAGCTGAACTCATGTTCCTTTTATGTTCCAGCAAACTGGAAAGCATTTGTATTACATTTTCAGATAATGTCATAACATAATATATCTTTAAGATGCTTTGCTGTTAATTAATGATTTTAGAATGTTCGGCTATACCAGTATCTTACCAAGCCATCTTGTTTTTCCCCAAGACACGGTGAGATTATTTTTACATGAGATTTTTACATCATCAATGAGGCTTGGGTTTTTTACTTTCTTTAGTTAATACTGCAGCTGTAGCAGCCTATTTGTACCTGATGGATCTACTCCGTTACATTATGCACATTTTTGAATGATGAGCTTAGCTTCCATCTGCATTGTTATTTTCTTGTTGGATAATAACATACTTATTTATGTATTTATTTCTTGTGTTTCTTTTAAATTACTTAGTTCCACCTTAAATTAGGACATTTCTTTGTCCATGATCAGTGAAGAGGGGAAATAAATTTTTTTCCAGCTCGGAATGGTAATTTTTATTTTGAAAAACATTTTTCTTCCTATTTGGTCATTTTCTGGTTGTCCTAAATATAGCAGGTTGACCTTTTTAAAAATGTGCATGTGTAAGTGTATTTTTGATTGCAATCAATATATTTTAGAATATATTTTGAGCATGTTTTGATATGGGCATCTACTTATGTTCAGTGATTAATTCTCACTGTTAGACTGAGATGCACTGTAATCAGCATAGGCTGTAACAATGTATTTGGTACATCCTGGAGAAGTGTGAGCTTTGGAGCTGAGCGTGGGCTTCAGCAGGGGTTCTTAACTAAAAGGGGATGGGATTTTTAGCCTATGGCATCAAGACTAAAATTCTGTCTGGGAGTGTAGTGGTTATGTCTCAGGAATACAGAGTGATGTTCAAGGAATCTTTCACTGTCACCTTTTCACAAGCACTGTATGACTTTTTGGTTTCACTGTTGCAAAAACTGAGATGCTTATTGATTGATGGTATGTTTAAATGATACTTCCTTATCTTTTGTCTACTCTTGGTGCTTTGAAGGGGTCTAATTGTATGGCCTTATAGCAACAGTAATCTAGTTGTATTGAGAAATGCAAAACCAGGTGGAATTTACAAATAAGAGGTGGCAAAGTAAGTTAGTTGAACCATAACCACCTCTTTAAAATGAGAAGACCCTGACATTTCATGAAATCTTCATGCCAAAGATCCTTAGATAATCTGGTAGCTGGTAGCAGTACAGAATCGAAATACAAATACAAATGGGTAATTGGCTATTTTGGTACTATGTGCAGTAAATTTGTTCTTTATCTATTGAACAGCTCACATCTTTGGATGCTTTTGTCATTGGTGCATTAGCCAAAGCAGTTGCCACCACCCTCACTTATCCTCTGCAGACAGTACAGTCAATTCTGCGGGTAAGTAATTTCATTTCATGGCAACTCTGCCTCTGACTTGGTCTATATCATGCAAGCCTTGTTTTTATTTGTGTTAATGGACCCATTGTTTTGGGAGGCATTTTTCCCAATGCAGGTCACTGATTAGAATGGCTTTCCTCTTTGGTTTTGACAGAGCTTGATATACTGGTGCACATTTGTTTCAAGTTGCTGGTAGGATTGCCAGTGTATTGTATTGGTAGTGTCCCAGAGAAGCTGATGCATTGTACTGCTTTTAGGTGCTGCAAAAATGTACATTTACTTATTGGAATATAAATGGAAAATGTGTCAAGTGGGAAGTTAAAATTAAATCTTCTAAAACCAGTCTGTTTCCAGATGACCTATGGTAATTTAAAAAAAAAAAAAATTCTATTCATAGGTTTTGTTGTTTGGATGATGGTCTGACCTTGTCAGCGTCCAGAATGTGATTGATCAGAGGAAGCTGAGCTCCCTCATAAATAATACCTTTAGCCATTTGCCTGGCCATGTAGGCTAATTGTAGTGGTAATGGAAACACTTGCATTTATTCTGACTTGCAATTTGTACATAGGCCGGATAATGCTGCTGCGTTCAGAGTGTACCAATATTGTTGTAATATTGACACAAGACAAAACTGGGGAGTAGGAGGGAAGGAGACCTGGCCATGTGGAAGCATATTGTATTTTAATTTGTGTGTTTTAAACTCTGTAGCAGTTAAATATTAGTAAGTGTTTCCACATGAAATACATTTTCCTAAGTAAGGAGGAGCCTTAACTTGCCTCTACAGTAAAGCCATTGTGTATGTTCTAAAACTTGGACAAATTTGGAGAATAAGTTGAATTACTGAAAACAAGCCTTCCATGCTAAGGGTATCACTTTTCAGACCTCTCTAATAAGGGAATTTTCATGTTAATTGTTCATCTGGAAAAAGTAATTTTCAAGCAAATTTTGTAATAATTTGTAACTCTCTAATTAGAGTGTAATAAATGTATCTTGATTTTTGGTAACCTGTGAAAAGGTAGTTAGGATGCTATATTTCAAAGCAAGAGGATTTGAATATACTTACTGTGTAATTTTTATCAGCAGTCATCTTTTCTGAAGTTTTCATAATTTTTGATCAGCTGCCTTTCACTGCCTATCCTGTTTTAACAGCCTGGACACATCTCAGTAGTAGCTAAACTAACAACACAGACTTCTGTTACTGGAATGGCAGATAGAGAAAAACATTTAAATAAAAATAGCTCTGTTTGGATAAGTTGCAAGATCAGTCTGTTTTTAATTTGTGATGCTCCTGTTTCCTCCTGATGTGAAGGAGAGCTGGAAGGAAAGTTGGAGTGCTCTATTTTAGCCTGAGCATTGCACAGCAGTGCAGCTTTCATGGGCCTGCAGCCGCAGAACAGCTTCAGCCCTCATTCCTTTCCATGGTTCCTACAGAAGTGGTTACAGTCTTGAGGCTTCATCTTTTTTTTATCTCCATTTAGCTTTTTGAACAAAATTCTTCTGACTCTTAATGACAGTGTAAAAAGAAGAAAAAAAAAATCCAGTGCCAGTCCGTCCTCTCCCTGTGATGATGGGGAGCACAAGGACCCTGTCTCTAGTTCTGCAGTCACTAGGGGTGACTTCTGTCTCTTTGCTCTATGAAAGAATAGCCAGGAGCTATTGAACACATCTGTTGAGGACAGCAAAAATGTGTGTCTGTGACATCTGTGCTGTCCAGTTCAGACTTGCTATATTGTGATGTGTTTTCTAATCTAAAGTTGGCATTGTTCTGGTTGATGAAGTTTTTGTCACTCACACTAAGTAATGTTAAAAAAGGTTATGAGTAAAGGTTTAGTATTTTCAGAACTAATATTCTGCATGAAAAAAAAGTTGCAGATGTTTTTAAAAAATAATTTTAGCAGATTTGCACACAAACTAATATAAGCTCAGTATAATTCATATAAACTTACACATCGTAACTAAGTTCTCTCATCAAACTAGTACAGAACATTTTTTTCCTTTTTAACCTGAAACCTTTAGAAACTTACTCTTTTTTAGAACTCATTAGGGATCTTTGTAATAAAGTCTTTACACCTTTGCTTTCAACTCTTTGGCACTCTTACTGTCATATAATGAACAGTTATCCTGTGTAATTGACAGTGGTAGCAGCTTTGCCTTTTGGTATTCCTTCTCCCAGTCATTAAAATTACGTGACACTGGTGTTACTCATTATGCAGTGAAACTGTTCTTTGGCCTATGTGTCAGTAAAAGAGCAGATAAATTAAATTTGCCTCTGGAGATACAGCAATACCATTAATGTTTTCAGTGATCCCAGAAGAAAAGGTTCTCTTTAAAATGGAAGTCTTTTTTCTCTGTCGTAGAGAATGCTAATCCTTTTGGGAAGTCTTCTGCAGTAAACACTGAAGTGTTAACATTCTACTGAAAAATTAATTATTTTCTTCTCTCTTAATGACCCTTTGTAGTACAAAAATTGTCCAGTGGTGGAGAAAAGAGGAGAATGAGGCACCTAATGGTGGTGTAGTGTGAAAGCCTATGTGTAATCTGGGCAGTGACTGACACTGTAACTTGGAACCTAGTTAGCAATTTTTGGGGGGTGTGTCTGAGTCTGTGACAATAGTTCTTAACACTGATTGTCAATATCAAATGGGTAGTTGCTGATGAAAAGATTATGGGTTTTGAATATATATTTACCTAATAACAGGAGATTTCCACTAGCATTCTGTTGCTGCTGTTTCCTCCCAAGTTATTAAAACACATAGTAAAGCCTCTATCATCCTAGCATTTTCTTAAAATTTCTGAGCTGCCTAAATCAGCTGGCATACTTTACCTACTGTCAATGGTAATTTCTTACACATAAGAAATAGCAGTTGCCTCAACATGTTCTGGGGAAAACTCATCCAACATGCAGTTACTCAAGTTCACCGTTCTTTTGTACACAGAAGCTTAACACAGTCTTCAAAAGCTATTAGGCTGTGCTGCTACAAATACAAGTGTACCAACTCTTGTATATTAATAATTCATAGTTACAGCTTGCTGGCGGTACTATCAACCTGTATCAGATAAAAGTATCAATGAATGCTTGAAAAGGACTTGCTGAAATTGCTAGTTTAACTCTACAGCAGCAGCAGTCATGCCTACTGAAAACCAGCTTGGGCATAAGCAAGTGTAGTGAGTAAAAAAGAAATATTATTTAGGCCAGGTCGGTAGGTGAAACAATTTTGAATTCTTTCACAGCAGCTCACACATAAGTGCTCCAGGACCATTGCTGGGCAGATAAATTGTGTGTTTGACTGTGCAATCTCAATGTAGTAATGACTTGCAGGTGTGTGAGGGTCTGAATCTTTGTGTAGTAAAGGCTGAGAAAGCCAGAAAGAACTTGCTTTGAGTGTCATAACCCTACTAAGACTCTGCAAATTATGCTTTTGAGGTCTTGAAAACTGCTTCCTCCAGAGCAACTGAAAGAGAGGAAATATTTGTTAGAATCCATTTTAAAACCAAATTACAGTAGTATGTATAGTTTTAATGTTTGCAGTGTGAGCTTTGGCCTCTGTTCTCTGCTGGTAGTTATGTAATGTGAAAAATGTTTAAAGGGGTTTAGGGTAGGCTCTCCAGATTTCATGCATGTATGATGTTCTCTGCCAAGCACAGTGGGGAAGTAGTACAGCAAAATCCTCTTCCTTTTTTTCAGTTTGGACGCCACAGGCTGAACCCAGAGAACCGAACACTGGGCAGTCTTAGAAATGTTCTTTACCTTCTTCAACAGAGAGTGAGGTGAGCTTTCCCATTTTATTTCTCCTACTATTTCACTAATATTGTGAAATGTTGCTGGGTCTGGATTTTGTTTCCTTTTGCCTCCCTTAAACTTGACATTTGAGTCAACCTGGTTTTTGTAATATATTGTAGGGTAGGCCCACAAACCCAGATTCTCCTAAATGTCTGTACAGTAAGTGACATCAAGGATACATATGGATACTAATTCATTTCACCTTTCAACTTGAAAAGAAACAGGTTTCTTGCACAAAGGACCTTAAATTTCTGCAGAATTTTTTCTTTAAAATATTACTAAACATAGCTGGCTTAAGGTCAAGAATGAGTTTAAGATTCCTACAGTTGGTCATCAACTTGTAATATTGATTCTTCTCTGTAGTGTACTGATTTACTTACAGAAAGCTATTTATGCTTGTTTTCTTGTTTGTTTTTTTTCTCCTCCTTAGGCGTTTTGGGTTAGTGGGACTTTACAAAGGCCTTGAAGCAAAGCTCCTGCAGACAGTCCTTACTGCTGCTCTAATGTTTCTGGTGTATGAGAAACTGACTGCAGCAACCTTCACAGTCATGGGATTAAAGCACTCGCGCAGACATTGAGGAGGCGCCAAAGATTCTGGGGTCTAGAAAACACATTCCATTTCTGAGACCTGGCTGGGTAAACAAAGGGTCCTCACTTTCTCTGCTTCTCTTTTTAGCCACCTTTACCTCCATTATTTGGAGAAATCTGGAATATGCTCTATAGGATCTGTTGCCACGAATTCAGGGATAGCCCATTCCCTATTGTTCTGTGTACTCACTGTGTTAAGAAAAAACCAGAGACCTTATTTAAGCACTTGACCTGAAATTTAAACTATTATGTGATTTGGTTATTTGGTTAATATTCTTGGCAAGAATGACTATCTCTCACTATACTTTCTTCTTTGCCCTCAAATTGTCCTCAACTATTCTTGGATCTTTATCTTCTGTCAGCAGCTGGTTTTGTGTTATTTTCCTTGACCTGTGTTTGTCACTTCATATTTGGTTCATTAAAATAATTCATAAAGAATAACATTTTTGGCATGGTTTTCTTTTACCTGCAAGTATGTTTGTGGCACAGGATCTGATGTTGCCCCAAATACCTGGTGATGAGGTCTCTGAACTGCTGGAATGGATATTAGAAGTGAGTGTACAATCTGTCTTCTTGAATCCAGCTATTTTAAATCTTGAAAATTTTGAATGCAGATACTGGCTAGATTGGAAGAAGATAACCTCTTGCTTTTTCAAGCGGAGTCCCTCAAGCTGCCTCAAGAAAATGGCCTTGCTACAGAAATACATGAAGTTTTATCACCCTATTCTTTGTGAGAATATGTGAATTCACACCATGTTCTTATGTAGACAGGGGGCACTGCTTCAGAAGTGCTATGCCTGCTCAAAATGTGCTTTGTTTATTTTTCCACTGATATTCCCATACCATAAAGCCTAAAATGTGTATGTTCTAACATGTCTATGTTCTTTTTGCATAGTTTTGGTCAGTATTCCTAGACTCTAAAATGCAAATTAAATTGTGCTCTGTTAATTGTTAAGTTGGCAATAGGATTGTTCTGAAGAACAGTTTTCTATTTGAAGTACTGAAAAAATTCATGGCAGTTTTAACACCAAGAATGTCTAGAAGGGGGAGAAGACTTGAATGCTGCAGGATTCCAAATTGCAAAATGGCACCTGTTCCTGGAGTCTGAATTGAGTCCATTTTAAAAATAAAATTGTAAAATAATTCTGCAGATAACGTCTTTTGAACAAGTGCCTTCTTTTAAGAGTGTTGAGAGTATCTATACAAGAAGAATACCCTTAATTCAATGCTGGTTGACTTTCAGTCCAAGTAGGATTTACATAGACAAGTAAGAATAAAAAAGTGCAATGAGCTGTAATTATACTTTGTTAAAGGATGAAAGTGAAAGACTGGAGACCTCACCACTGGAAAAGAATGAATCACAATTCTGAAAATTTCAGTGAAAATACTTTTTTTTTTACTGAAATGAGGTGCCATGTGGAAAGGTAGTCTGCTGTCATTTGGGTGTTTTTAATCAGAAATTTGGAATTGGTAGTATGGCTCTTGATAAGCTACCTCACCTTGGAATTCCTGCTGTCAGAATCGTTGTGGGGAAGCAGAGTGGTTCTCGTGCCAGTCTGGCTGAAATCTGCATGGCATGAACTCCAGAAGGTGGAGTTCAGCACCTTGAACCTTTCTGCTCTGTGGCATGAGGGAGCAATTCCTGCAGATGTATTTTTCTGGTTGCTCTACCTGTAAGAAGAAACCAAATGCTTGCTACCATTTACTAGCCAAAAAATACTTGTCTGCCTGCCAGTGTGGATTCAAAGGGATACAGTATTTCCTTTTTGCAAAAAAGCAGAATACAGAAGCCCTGTGTGAAAGTGTGCTGGTCTTGGCTGTGTCTGCGTTACCTGGACAGACCATTAAGCCTGGAACAGACAGTCTGCCCTAATCTCTCTACTTGGCTCTGCTGACCAATTATAGTGAAACAGTTTCATAAAGGAATGAAAGCAAAAGTTACTGAAGCTGGGAGCATCTCAGGTCTTTTAATATTGACCTGTGGTATTTAAAACTTTTTTGCTTCTGCATTATCCGGTGTTGATTCAGACATTAAACTGAAATAACTGAAAAACACTTTAACCTTGCGTGACTGAGCCAAAATGCAGATGGTTGAGGAATTGTTAAGTCATTTATTCAATTGGCAGGCAAATGTTCATGTTGCAGCTGGTACCTCTACCTAAGTTTTCTCAGATGTAGTTTGAACAGATGATGACATTTCTGTTAGACTGCATAAAACTATTTCAGCATTGGTATTTTTGACATTAAAAAAATCCATAATTTATCAAAGCAAACTATGAGAGACTATTTTTAATCTTGGTACTGGAGTTGTAATTCATCCTTGGTGGATAAATACTGTCCAGAAATGAAAACTAAATAAAATAATTCTGTTCTATTTTAAAATACATTTACATAAATTGCCATTTCCTGCTGTCTCTCTCATAAGCAAATAACAGTTTATTTAGGGGGTGGTGTAAAGACATAATCCAGCTAATCTGGCTCTGTGGATTTGTCATTTTGCTAGAGAAAAATAGTTGGCAAACTATTGACATAGTTGCCATCAAACAGCACAAAACCTACAAGTGTTCCTTTAGACACAGGTGGCTCCCAATGGACATGGCTGTGGCAGTGGAAGCTGGAGCTGGAACGTGGAGGGAGAGTCTGAGGTGGTGTGGCACTCTAGGCACCTGCAGTGACAGCCTTGGCTGCCAGTGCTCTGCGCTTCTGCTGTGCAGCAGTAGTAACTGTGTTCCAACCAAAAATTGTGTCAATTCATTTCTAGAGAATTTAACAGAAAATATTTTCATCTTCAGATGAAAAACAGATCTTCTCCCTATATTTTTAATCCTATTTTTCAGAGACGAGAGAAAGGAATGATGATTACAAAGGAGAGCAGCAGAGAGGATCGTCTGTCTTAGCTGAGTTCTGTCATGGGTAATTCTATCCTTGGCTCAGTTTAGGAGATTTAAATTTAATCCTGTGCTCTTCTTTCTCTTTCCCACCCCACACTTTGAATGAAGGTAGGAAGCCCCTGTGGCATCTTAGAGATTGCAAAGCAAGTGGCTTCAGGAATTCTGCTCCAATTTGTATTCCAAAGCATGTTTCTTGCAATTATAGGTTGCCTGTATGGTAGGGCAGTATTTAACACATTTTGGCTTATTCACTAATGTTATTTGTGTGTGTATATATATATATCTTTTGTGTGTATATATATCTCTCAATGTATCATATAATAGAAATGCTATTCATTAAGCCTCACGAGGATGACAACTGATAGGGTATAACGTGTTCTTTTTGTCTTACGTAATGTTGAATTGCTGAGCGTCTGCTGCCAAAGCTGGCTGTACTTTGCTGGAAGAGTCTCTCCATCAAATGATTTTCTGGCTGCACTGAAGAAAGTTATTAAAACCTGAAAGCTGGTGCACACCCTTTGGGGGAGGAAAAACAGGATTTACCTCCAGTCTAAACAAAAGGAATAGAGCTCGCTGCACTGCAAAGCTTCTTGTCCAGATTAATCCTTCTTTACATGTCTTACTGCTCACCTGCTGAGGAAGGAAAAAGGGGCTGTGCTGACCCTGCTCCTTGCTGGACTTTTGTAGCTAAGACAGGTAAACACCATCCATTCAGAGGAAAAAACAGGTGAGCTTTCAAACTGGGATATTCCTTGCACAGGCATCTGTTGAAAAAGGTATTCCTTGCCATCAGTGGAGTTATTTTTACACCACATGTCAAAAACATTTCTTAGCTGGTGAGCATGGGGCAGGACAGCACGGGGCTGTGGGTGAGAGGAAGCTGTACAGGAGGCCCATAGTGTTTATGCCTGTTGTTGGGGTCTATGTCTCTTTTTTTTTTCTTTTTCTTTTTTATCAATATGATTTAAAGCAAAGAAGAATGAGGATGACATGATGAGGAACATGAGTATTAAAACAGTTATTTTTATGTGTAATTGTTTATTGACCTAATCTAAAAAGCTGAATTCTGTGTTTGCAAAGGCTACTTTGTGGGCATTATAAACCTCTCTCTGCCTCTTCACAGCAGAAACAGAGAGGTTTTAGGGCATGGTTTGATGGTCTATATGGGCTAAAGTGCCCTCTTCAAAGCAAGTTTTCCTGGTACAGAGAGGGGCCAGGTCCATCTCTGTGCATGACTGCATGGTCTGTAGAGGGCTGTTGAAGCTGACCTAGTGTAAAACTTGACTAGTGTGTAACATCATCTATAACTTACATAATATTCATAGCTTACAGGTTTTGATAGCACTAGATAAAAGAGCATAGCTTTAGGATTCAATGAGCAACAGCAAAAGAGCTTCTATAAACTGGCATATTTTAAATTCTGATTCTTCCTTTGTCTCGTGTTTAAAATAAATGGACTCCAGAACTTTCTAGAAAATGATAACTAAAAAGAGATCACCTTTCTATTTGGCTGACAACATTTTTTTCTGCTGTCTGTAGCAATGTAGTGCATTTGTCAGAGCAGCCTGGAGCACAGCACAGCCACTATAAGGTAAGGGGCAGAAGCTTGTGCAAAGATGGATTTTTTTCTGTCCTCTGCAGTTGGGGAAATTATCCTCCAGTTACTGCAGCTGGAGGAGAGGGAAGAGCAGGAATTTGGTGGTGGTCCAGATGAGAAAGCCCACAAGACAACAGTCTCCATAACTTGCAGCAATGGAAATGTGAAGTGATAACAAGGCCAGAATCTATCTGTGAGAGATTCTCCAGCACATTTCCAGATCCGGGTGTAGCACTTGCACAGTGGAGCCCAGCTCATGGGGGTGCTATTGCAGCAGCAATCAACCAAACAGTTCACAGCTGTACCAGTGGTGAGAGGCTTCATTTTAACAATCCCTGACGAAAATTTTGGGTGTATATTCTTCTGGAGCTGGAATGGTCTGGATAGTCAGTGGGTTTCCTTGAATACCCCTTTACTCAGCACTTTTCATTTGCTGTGTTGCTTTCTATGACTTTTCAAACCAGCTGAAGAAAATAATAGGTGTGTCTAGATTGCTGGTATTTGCATTTGGATTTGCTGCCAAAATTGCATAAGGTGTTTAGAAAGTCCCCCAAACGTGGCAATATGCCAGACTGAAGATGAAAGGGACTTTAAAGGCACAGACAGTTACTGCTCACACTGGGAACAGCACCTCACAGAAGCAGATTTTAACTACAGGGAAAGCCTCTTAACAATGTTGTATTTGTAGCTTTATCTCTAATGCCAAAGGCCAGATTGACTCACATGTGCTGGGCTCAGGGATCTCTATGCAGAAGGTGCCTGGGATCAGCCCAGGGTCATCCATAGAAAACCCATTTTTCTGACTGCAGCCAGTGCTCAGGGGGGCTGCAATTGTTGGTGCCTGTGATCCGGTTGTCGTCACAGCACACGTCAGTCTTAAAATTAGTAACAGCTAATCTCTGCTGTACTCTCACATCCACATATGGAGGCTGAGGTTGGGGCTTTTTCCCCAGTAGGATTTATTTTGAATTAGAGACAAACACTGGCCAGGCTTTAGCTGGCTTCGTTGTGGATTCCTTGCTGAAAATTGTCAGTTTACAATTCTTGGCTTAGCCTTTCTGACCTTCATCTGTGATGGGCAGAAGATTTCAGCTTGTCAGTGTGGATTCAAGATGTGATAGGTCCTCCCCTAATTGTTTCATTGTCTCAGCTGAATGATGGAACATCAAGGCCCAGAGCTGCTGTTTTGAACAAAAAAATATTTCCTTTGTCCTGTTGTTTTGGGAAGTTCATTGTTCTTTTAATGTCCTTGAGGAGTCATGGTGACTTGTTGATGTGAAGGTTTTATGAAGCGCTGTCTTTCATGAATACTGATGTGAGAAAACTAATTTGATGGATTTTTCTCATTATCTTTCCTCATGCACATGTCCATGCAGTCCCAAGCCTCAGAGTCACCTGCTGCATACAAAACAAATGTCTTCATTTCTTTTGAATTATTTCTCCTGGGCTTGCTTTGTGGCCATGAATCAAGAATACTTTGACACCACTGTTTTCTAGTTTTGAAATTCCCAGGATTACAGAAGGTAGTGTTATGAGGGTTTTGTATTTTTTTCACATGGCAACCTTTTATCTTAGTTTTCCCATAATATTTTGAAAGATGCAAGTTGGAGATTTCATATGATGCTTTCAAAACTCTCAAAGTATTTATCAAGAATAAAGCAGTGTTC